GAGCTTAAAGCCCCTGATGGCTCTGGGCGCTGACTCTCACCAGTGGCTATGGATGAAGTCACAGACGATTTTCAGCCAGCGCTGGTCCCCTGCTAATGTTATGCTGCATACATGGTATTTTAGCTACATTCAAGCTGGAAGCAACCTACTATCACAGGTACAACTCCTTTTGTTGTAACAAAGTAAGTAAGTTCCTTTTTAAATGGTCATTTCCTCAACAATGTGCTTTTCTTCTTTTCTAAGATTTTTTTTTTAGATTTGTAACTTCTTCAGGAATAAGAATAAATTATGTTACCATAAGAATTATAATAAATTATAGATAATATTGGAAAGAATGGGAATTCTAGAACATGTAACTGTATTTGGATACAGTCTGTACATGGATCACAAAGTAGCCATTCAAACAGACCAAGGAGTTTAAAATCAGGAAAGGCCTATGCCAGGGTTATAGACTTTCACCATATCTATTCAATCTGTATTTTGAGCAAATAATCATGGAAGTAAAACTATATGAAGAAGAATGTAGCATTAGGATTGGAGGAAGGTTAATCTACAACCTATATCATGCAGATGGCACAACCTTGCTTACAGAAAGTAAAGATATCTTTTGAAGCTTTTAGTGAAGATCAGAGACTACAGCTTTCAGTAAGAACTGCACTTCAACATTAAGTAAACAAAAATCATTACAACTAGGCCAATAGATAACATCATGCTAGCTGGAGAAAAGACTAAAGTTGTTATGGACTCTATACTTTATTGCTGATTTTAATATAATGCTGATCTACAATCAGCATTATAGAAACAGCAGACAAGAAATCAAATGATGTATTGCACTGGGTAAATCTTTGGTGAAGGACACCTTTACAATTCTAGAAAGCAAGGATACCACTTAACAGATTAAAGTGCACTTCCCCTAAGCCATCATATTTTCACATGCTTCATGTACATGTGAAAATTGAAAAAAGAATAAGGAAGATCAAAGAATAACTGATGCCTGTGAACTGTGGTGTTGGCAAATAATACTGAATATAATATGGACTGCCAAAAGGATAATGACATCTATCTTAAGGTGTTTCTTAAAAGGAATGATGGTGAGAATGGCTTCATAGACCTTGAGCATATTATCAAAAGGGCCAGAGAAAGACATCATGTTCAGAAAAATAGGTCAGCAAAAGCAAATAAATCCTCAACAAGATGGGTTGGGACAGTGACTTGCAACAATACAGTACAGGAGAACTTGGGAGGATTGCACAGGATCAAGCAGAGCTTCCTTCTATTGCATACAGGGTTGTTATGAGTAGGGATCAACTTGATGGCATCTTACAACAATAAATAACTCAGGAGATAGATCTTCCCCATCTGGAGGAATGATTTAATGAACATTTCAGATGAGGTCTGCAAGAACTCTAAGACCATTCAGGGCCAATAGTTTTATCTGACTAGCAGAAGAACTGACATAAAAGGAGTACAAGATGGCAACTAACTAAAAGCTAATTAGTGCCATCTAGTAAGAATGGATTCATAATTGACCCTCCAGAGGGTTTTCAGTGACTATAAATCATCTGTAAGGAGCAGCTGGTGTATTTAAACCACCAGGTTGGCAGAGTAACTCTTTACTCCTTAGAGCACCAGGCCCTAAATGTTCCATTAAGGAGTTAGGAGTTGGTTACTTAGTAACGGAGAGTCTTCTAAGCAAGTATGCATGCTTCAGAGCATGCTGCATTCAGGAAAGTCAATCTATCCCTAAAGATGTAAAGATCAACAGCCCAGAATAAGAGGTATACTGCAAAGAGGCCTAGGGGAGGAGGGAGGTAAATGCGCAACAATGAATTAATATGAAAAAAAAAAATTAACTGGGGGAGGGGGAGTAAAATGTATAACAATGAAT